ATGATTATCTATGTAGAAAATCCCAAGGTATTTGCAAAAAAAAACTCCAGAAGTAATAAGTGAATTCTGCACAGTTGCAGACTAGATCAACAAACAAAAATCAACCATCTGTATATACTCACAACCAACCAATGAAATCAAAATCAAAAAAGCAATACCACTTACAATGGCTCCAAAGGAAATGAGACACTTTGGTATAAATCTAAGAAAATATGTGCTGGATCTGTAGGCTGAAAATTACAAAATTTTGTTGACAGACCGGACAGAAGACCTTCACTGGAGAGACTCACCATGTTCTTGGATTAAAGACTCAACAGAGTATAGATGTGAATTCTCCCCAAACTGCTCTGTAAGTTTTAACACAATTCCTACCAAAATTCCAGGAAGGTTTCTGGCACACACAGGCAAACTTATTCCGAAATCTATATGGAATGGAAAACTCCCTAAAATAGCTAAAAGGAAAAATCAAGTGGAAGGAACTGGTCTACCCGATTTCAAGACTTCTTATAGACCTATGGTAGTCAACAAATCGTGACTAGGGGGAGATCCTTCCAGGGAATGTAAACAACAGACTGGCCAACTAGGAGTTTAATCTACTGCCATTAACAGGAAACCTTCAACATTCACATCCTCCCCTGTATCCTGTGCTTGTATACCAGATGCCGTTGTTTTTAATTCTCCCGTTTTCTAAGTGGGAGGATTCTTCACAGTTATCCTGTTCCTTTATCCGCAGTACTTTACTGGATATACCGGGAGCACAGATTTTCTCGATTAGCTTTAGGGTCACCAGAGAACGAGCTATGACCAAACCTAATGCAGAAAGCTGTGCATCAAGCAGACACTGTGGACTCAGAGGGAGATGCAGGCGTGGATAAGAACAGGTACCGACTGCCTTGGAAAGCTGGTGACTGTAACTCCCTAAAATGTTTTCACAAGAAAAAGGATCTGTTTGGATTTTGACTAGCCAGAGTGGTCGCTTTTGTAGGTATTGTTCGTTAGCGAACCCAACCCCTATCTCCAAACTCCTTCTCCCTTCCCCCATCTCTACTAAGAGGCTGGAGGAGCTAAATCTCCTTTTCACAGCCTTTCTTCTAGTGAGGGGTGGCCATGTGAAACAGCTGGTCCTTAACACCTAAGGGGACGTTGGCTGGCCTGCAAGGCTTCAAGAAAGGTTTTCGGCTTCCTGGAAAAATGAAGTGATGTTCTAAGGCTTCTGGTCTCCTTAAATGTAAAATGAAGAGAGATGCCCCTTCACGGTGCCTCAAACAGAAAGGTAATGACCCCAGCACCTCGCAGCCACGAAGGAAAGGCCAAGAAAATGACCAAACAACAGCCCTGACACTGTTGAGCTGCTAAACCAATGTCAACAGACACCGACCTCCAAATTTCTTTTTTCATGAGAAAAAAATAAACCCTCATGAGTTTAAGCCTCTGTTACATACAATAAAATGCATCCCTAGAAAACACTAATTCAAAAGGATACATGCACCCCTATGTTTACTGCAGCATTATGTACAAACAGCCCAACAATAGAAGCCGCCCAAGTGTCACCAATAGATGAACGGATAAAGATGGGGGGGAGGGGGGGTTGGACCTACAGGGTGTCAGGCTAAGTGAAATAAATCAGAAAGAGAAAGACAATATTACATGATTTCACTTATATGTGGAATTCAAACAACCAAAGAGTTAACTATGTATGTGTGTACATATCTGTGTGTGTGTGTATACATACATTTATATACACACACCTAGAGGGTATTATGCTAAGTGAAATAAGTCAGAAACAGAAAGACAAACACACTGCATGATTTCATTCATAGGTGGAATCTGAAAAACAAAACAAACAAAAAGCAGAAACAGACCTATAAATATTCAGAACAAACTGATGGTTGCTGGAGGGAAAGAGAGTGAGAGGGTATGGAAAATGCGTGAAGGAAAACAGAAGGTTCAGGCTTCCAATCATGGAATGAGTAAGTCACAGGAATAAAAGGTACAGCAAAGATACATACCACAGGTCAATGATCTTGTAGTGGTGTTACATGGTGACAGATGGTAGCTACACTTGTGGTGAGCACAGCATAAGGGAGAGAGAAGTCAAGTCACTATGCTGAACACCTGAAACTAACGTAACAACGTGTGCCAATTACACATCAACAATAAAAAGCATCCCAGGGACGCCTGGATGGCCCAGTTGGTTAAGCATCCGACCTCAGCTCAGGTCATGATCTCACAGCTCGTGAGTTTGAGCCCCGCATCAGGCTCTGTGCTGACAGCTCAGAGCCTGGAGCCTGCTTCAGGTTCTGTGTCTGTCTGTCTGTCTGTCTGTCTCTCTCTCTCTCTGCTCCTGCCCCATTCGTGCTCCATCTCTCTCTCTCTCTGCCCCTGTCCCATTCATGCTCCGTCTCTCTCTCTCAAAAAAAAAATATTTTTTATAATAAACAAATACTATCCCTAACTAATATAGGGTATGTTATTTCATAATAGATTTTTAAAATAGAAAAAGTGATTTACTATTACATGAATATTAATATTTCTAATACTGTTGTACCTAATATTTCTGGAGCCTCTCAGAATACTTTCATATTGAGTATCAATTTGATAGTATCTGTTATAATGCTCCCGTGTATTATTTCACTTAACCTCTCAAGACCTCAGTTCCTTTCCCTCATTCGACACGTATTTTAAAGTGTCTACAATGCATCATGCCATCCAGCTGAATTTCTAGCAAGAAACTTATTTGCCAAATGCAACTGACGGGAAGTGCTGTCTCCTAACAACAGGTAAGAGGCAATGAAGTTCAATTTGGTATATAATGGCGGGGGGTTGGAGGGGAGGGGGAGAAGTAATGCAGTAAAGAGGCTTCTGAATGAGCCCATGCTAACTCAGTGAGTTGAAGAAGGGTGGGGGGTATGGAGTAATAACAGTGGATTTAAAAGTTAAATAATTACTGGGGCGCCTGGGTGGCGCAGTCGGTTAAGCGTCCGACTTCAGCCAGGTCACGATCTCGCGGTCTGTGAGTTCGAGCCCCGCGTCGGGCTCTGGGCTGATGGCTCAGAGCCTGGAGCCTGTTTCCGATTCTGTGTCTCCCTCTGTCTCTGCCCCTCGCCCGTTCATGCTCTGTCTCTCTCTGTCCCAAAAATAAATAAACGTTGAAAAAAAAAATTAAAAAAAAAAAAGTTAAATAATTACAAAATAAAAGAAGTATGGGAAATAAAGCATACTCAAACCACATCCTCAAGCCCCCCAACCAAAAGAAGGACAGCAAAGAAAACATCAATCCTAAATCTGATTTTAATGGTTGGGGGTAGGGGAACACAATTAAGGCAGGTCTCAGAGATAGGGCTACTGTTTTAAGGATAAACCAAGAAGAAAGGCTGATAAGCTTAAATTGGTCAAAGGCGTATAGAGTCTCCCAATTACAATTTTATAGAATCTGACTTAATTTTAACGTTAACAGTCCACATCTCCTTCTAAGAAGGTATTTCAAAATCTTCATTACAGCAAAATCTGTTTTTGCTGAGCTTTACCCAGAAGCAATTCATTGACTCTAAAGACCTTACTTCTACCTAACCCCATAGGGAAAATAGATCTAAATATTACAAATCACTTAAGAGGGTTAAAATACACAGAACACGTGTGAACCAAATATGTCTAAAAGCTTATTAAACTGTACCTTATAGCAATATATTGAGTTTTTATACACTACCTATACAACTGGAACTCAGAAAGCCCTAGTTTTTAGGAATTTGTCATAAGCCACAAAGACATTCAAAAATTTTCAATTGATTTAGTGAATTTCACTTATTTCCCCGGTGAGGACTGTGGAAAGGAAACGTACTAGCCTAATGCACATACCCCTGGAATTCGTGTCCAAGTAACCAACGCAGAAAAGGTAAGACAGATGCATCCACACTGAACACTTTAACTTCATTTACCAGTAAATTTTCCTCTCACGGCCATTTTTATATTTGATAGATAAGAGAACCCAGGTAAGTAATTTAAGAGTTTCACAATATATTCAAGTTTGTTGAAATAGCACAGAATATGTAACTATCTCCAGATTACAATTACACAAAAAAGATCCTAGTCTCATCTATGGTTTACTCTTACCAAAAGTTTATACCTTCTTCAAGTGAAACAGAATCATTTTTCCTAGGATTTAACGATCTGTACTATCTTTATCCAGAATCCTTCTGTTGTATCTTTTTGCAACCAGAGCAAAAACAAATACTGTCTTTTTGTATGAAGTATGTTAAGTATTCTGAGAAGTCATGTCATTACTCAGAAAACAGAGGAAGAGAGGAAGTGAGAATATCTTATAAACCATAATTACAGATCTATGCCAAAAAGCATAGAAGCATAAAGACAAAATTCGGCTTTAACAAAATCATAATTATAAAGAATGAGAGTTTTTATTCTCTACCTACCCTACTCTAATACCATTTGTTGATGTGAATATAATAAATTCAATTAAACAAACCAAAAATTGGCTTCCATATACTCTGAAGAAACGTGGTGCTATAGAGAATGAAATACAAAAGCTTATGTAAAAAATTTTAGCACTAAGTAATCTTACAATCTGAAATACTTCTCAAATTTGTGTGTCTCACTCTCCTCCCCAGTACTTCCTTCACTGGTGGAAATGGATGTTTTTAAATTAATTCTAGCCCTCGGATCTAATCTGCGAGATCGCAGCCCAGTTTCAGGAGTCTGTGGGAGTCTCAGGGTGGCAGCAAGGTGGTGAAGGGAAGCAGGGATCCAACCCCATCAAAGGCAGGTCTTCTGAACTGTATACACAGGATGGAGAGGCAAGTAACTGGACACCCTGGTGGTATGTGCCCAGCCAGCCTCTGGGTCAGAAGATAACGAGCTGCATCTGCAGGAAGGAGGAAGAGTCTGGGCAAAAACCAGCGAAAACCTGTGGAGTTTTTCTAATGAGTTCTCTGATGGGGAGTAAAGGGCTGTGTGGGGTGGCAGGAGTGCCCCCGTGGACCTCAGCTCTACACAACGCCTGCAGAATGGTCTCTGCCGAGAGCGGACCACCAGCTCATCTCAGCGGTCACCCCTGAAGTGGTACCAGATACCTACTCGTAAACTGGAAACAGACCCCTTGAATGAGGCAGTGAAGTCTCCCAAACTACAAAGATCTCGTCTCAAGAAAAGAATTCCACAATAAGCAGCGTGTAAAAGGTTCTCCAGTTGCCCAAAAAAAGCACAATAAGCCAATATTCCCTAAATATACATACATAATCGTAACTACCACGTATTAAGCATGTTCCTTTGTGCCAGCCTGCAAGAACTTTTTATGCATAAATTCATTCAATCCTTACAATTCCATGAGACACCTTATCCCCACCTTACAGATAAGGAACCGGAGTTTACATAACTTGACCAAGGTCACACATTACCAAATGGTAAAACAGGAATTTGGCTTTAGCAATCTAGCTCCAGACGCTGCAACCTTCTTAAGTTTTTATTTAAATTCCAGGTCGTCAACATACAGCATAATATTAGTTCAGGTGTAGACCTTAGTGATTCATCACCCACACAGAACACCCAGTGCTCCTCCCAAGTACCTCCTGAATACCCACCACCTATTTAGGCCATCCCTCCGCCTACCTCCCTTCCAGGAACCCTCAGTTTGCTATAGTTAAAAGTCTATTTCCTGGTTTGCCTCTTTTTTTTTTTTTTAACCCCCTACGTTCATCTGTCTTCTTAAATTCCACAGACAAGTGAGATCATACAGTACCTGTCTTTCTCTGACTCATTTCGCGTACAATACTCTCTAGTTCCTTCCACATCACTGCCAATGACATGACCTCATTCTTTTTTTTTATGGCTGAGTAATATTCCTTTGTGGGTGTGTGGGGGAGGGGGTGTACACATCTTCTTTATCCATTCATCAGTCAGTGGACATTTGGGCTCTTTGCATAATTCGGCTCTTATTGATAATGCTCCTATAAACAACAGGGTACATGTATCCCTTCAAATCAGTATTTCTGTATCCTCTGGGTAAATGCTTAGAACAATTGCTGGATTATAGGGGAGTTCTATTTTTAAGTTTTTGAGAAACTACCACACTGTTTTCCAGAGTGCACCAGTCTGCATTCCCACCAGTGTAAAAGGGTTGCCCTTTTCTCCGCATCCTCACCAACGCTTGTTGTCTCCTGTGTTGTTAAGTTTCACCATGCTGACTGGTGTGAGGTGAGGTGATATCTCATTGTGGTTTGATTTGTATTTCCCTGATAATGAGTGATGTTGAACATCTTTTCACATGTCTGTTGGCCATCTGGATGTCTTCTTTGGAGAAATATCTGTTCATGTCTTCTGCCCATTTTTTAACTGGATTATTTGTTTTTTTGCATGTTCAGTTTTTTTTAAGTTCTTTATATATGTTGGATATTAACCCCTTATCAGATACAGTGAACACAGACAGTAACCTCTTTGACATCAGCCATAGCAACCTCTTCCTAGATAGATATGCCTCCTGAGACAAGGGAACAAAAGCAAAAATAAACTATTGGGACCTCATCAAGATAAAAAGATTGCACACAGTGAAGGAAACCATCAACAAAACTAAAAGGCAACTTCCATAATAGCAGAAGATACTTGCAAACAAACTCTGCCACCTTCATCACCACTGCTGTCAAATATATTTAAAAGCACATCAAAACATTTCAGTAATAAAATAAGGGTCTGTTACATAGTACTATTTTTCTTTATGCTAGTCACCATGGCTAAGAAACCAACAAAACCCACCCATTAAAAAACTAACCTCCCCCTCGATTTTACTTTGTGAAACATAAATAGCAAGCATCTCGCACGGAATGAAAAATTTTTGATGTGGTACACTACTTCTTCCATGAACTACAGCAACAGATTTTCTTTCAACAAGATTTGAACACAACATAGCAATTTCCCTTTCCCCCTGCGTTTGGTAAAGTGTATTGTAAAGGATCCCATTTTAAAATTATTAATACACTGAATAATGTTAAGGGCATAAAGTAAGTCTAAGCTGGCAAGCTATGTTATATGATATCCCATTCCCCATATTCCAAATGGATCACAGCATAAACTTACTAGTTTATGTAGTCAGCTTATATATTGATTATCTTACAAAGTCAGCTTGTGTATTGATTAAGATTTTTCAGAAATTATTAAATAAGGGTATAGATTTCACTATAACTTTAAACTCTGTTACTAAAAAGTGAATGGGCTTTCTGCAAGGAAAATTTGACTACAACAGTTTATATACCATAGAAATATACAGGTTTATATTTCATTGCCTCACTACCTACCCCCTCCAAAAAAAAACCTTTTAATATACTTTTCTTCCCCCAAAATTCCATACAAAACCAATATAACCGGTCCCCTCAAATATCCTTAAGCACAAAAACATTTTATTGAAAAAAGCCTAGCAAGTCCAAGTGTTTCCTGGTTTCATAATAGTAAAAAAAAAAAACTACACATATGTATCAGTATATCAGTTTCTTTTTTTTTTTTTAACTTTTTTTTAACGTTTATTTATTTTTGAGACAGAGAGAGACAGAGCATGAACGGGGGAGGGTCAGAGAGAGGGAGGCACAGAATTTGAAACAGGCTCCAGGCTCTGAGCTGTCAGCACAGAGGCCGACGCGGGGCTCGAACTCACGGACTGCGAGATCATGACCTGAGCTGAAGTCGGCCGCTTAACCGACTGAGCCACCCAGGCACCCCTCAGTATATCAGTTTCTAATGCAAACGGTAACTAAAAGTTTCTTTATAAAATGAAAGTTGTACTAGATAAAAGCTAAGATAACGATTCTATATTACAATTGTGCTTAAATGTAAATAGTAAACTTGAGGAGGCAGTAAGGGAGAGTAGACATGAACTCTGGGGACAAAACGTGTTGACCAAAGTGAAAGAATAATACAGAAGCACAAACCTGTTTTTCAAACCGCAATGAACTAAAACAAAAGAAATAAAATTAGCAAAGAAAAACACAAGTGTTCTAATGTGGGAAGAGGCCAGACTTAATCTATAAACTTTTGGAAAATGTCACCTGGAAGCACGGTAAACAAATGCAAAGGAAAACAAAATATTTCGATAGTCAACCCAATCCTGTTCTTCACTCCCTTTGCCCAGAATAGCCATCCAAAATCCAAAAGCAATACTATGAGGAGGAAAAGGAAAATAAGAAAATCTGCAAACATCTCATTGATAGAACCCGATTTTTATTTTAGAAAAATACAATTTCAAACATATGAGTAAGACCTTAGGAAATACAGTATCCATGAACATTTGGTGGCGGGGTTGGGGAGGGGGGTGCGGGGGAAGACTTCGTATTCAGAAATGTAGCCTCAAATCTTCACTCCATCACATACTAGCAATGGGACAGTAGTCAGGCACTTAACCTCTGAAACTTCACATTCCTCATCTAAGATGTGGGGATAGTATCTGTGGATTTGTCACCAAGACTAAACATAATCTACATAAAGTTGCTATAGGTCAGAACTAGCACACTGTAGAAGCTTAACAATTGGTACAAACACTTAAATTCTTTAAAAATTCTTCAAGGGAGGGGGGTGCCTGGGTGGATCGGTCAGTTACACGTCCAACTCTTGGTTTTGGCTCAGGTCATGATCTCACAGCTCCGTGAGTTCGAGCCCTACATCTGGCTCTGCACTCATGGTGCACGGCCTGCTTGGGATTCTCTCTCCCCCAAAATAAACTTAAAAAAAAAAAAAAAAAGAAATTCTTCAAGAGGGGAGCCTGGCTCGCTCAGTTGGTACGGCCTATGACTCTTGATCTCTAGGTTATAGGTTCAAGCCCCATGTTGGATGCAGAGATTACTTAAAAATAAAATATTTTAGAAGTAAATAATTTTCTTTAAGAATGTGGACAAATAGGGGCACCTGGGTGGCTCAGTCAATTAAGCATCCAACTCTTGATCTCAGCTTAGGTCTTGATCCCAGGGTTGTGAGTTCAAGCCCAGCACTGGGTTGGAGAGTGGGCATGAAGCCTACTTTAAAAAAATAAATAAAAATAAAATTAAAACAAAAAAACAAACTGGAAAAATAATTATTTTCAACAGTTCTAAATTTATAAAAGAATTAAATTTATAAAAACACAAGGTCTTTTAGCTATCTAGTTACATACATACTGCCTGGTTACTACTGTTCCAGATTTTATCATCTCCCTCCAATGGATTGAGGGGGTTTTTGTTTCTCAAATATAAACTATGGTTTTTTACATATGGGAAATAAGATTTTCAGCCCAACTTGGTTTTACCTATTTAGCCAGCACATATGAACTAACAATAAGGTTGAAAACCTACCAGAATAATAATGAGAAGTGCTAACATGAGAAAATTGAGTAAACTTGCCACGGATAATTTGCTTATTTTGAACACAAGGAGAAAAGATGATTCTTTAACAGTTTATTCAAGTCAAAGAAGAGAAATATGACTGGCTTTCTAGTAAGTCACCCATTAAAAGATTTCAAGTCAGTTGAACACACACAGAATTTAAGGAGATACTTATTTTTTAAGCCAGTTTATGGTATTTTTTTTTAAGTTTTTATTTCAATTCCAGTAAACATACAGTGTTATATCAGTTTCAGGTGTACAATATAGTGATTCAACACGTCCACACATCACCCGGTGCTCATCACGTGTACTCCTTACTCCCCGTTACCTACTTCACCCATCCCCCACCCACCTTCCTCCTGGTAACCATCAGTTTGTTCTCTATACTTAACAGTCTGTTTTGTGGTTTGCCTCTCTTTTTCCCCCTTTGCTCTCTTATCTTGTTTCTTAAATTCCACATATGAATGAAATCACATGGTATTTGTCTTTCTCTGACTTACTTCACTTAGCATAATACTCTCTAGCTCCATCCATGTTATTGCCAATGGCAAGATTTCATTCTTTTTCATTGCCAAGTAATACTCCATTGTAAAAGTATGTGTATGAAATATTCCACTAAATATGTGTGCGTGCATGCACACACACACACACACACCTGATCTTTATGCATCGTATCAATCAATGGACACTTGGGCTGTTTCCATAATTTGGCTACTATACATAATGCTGCTATAAACACTGGGGGACAGGTATCCCTTCAATTCAGTATTTTTGTATCCTTTGGGTAAGTATCTCCTAGTGCAATTGCTGAATCACAGTACAGTTCTACTTTTAACTTTTTGAGGATCCTCCATACTGTTTTCCAGAGTGACTGCACCAGTTTGCATTCTCACCACCAGTGTAAGACGACGGTTCCCCTTTCTCCGCATCCTTGCCAACACCTGTTGTTTCTTGTGCTATTGATTTTAGCCATTCTGACAGGTGTGAGGTGGTATATCATTGTGGTTGTGATTTGTATTTCCCTGATGATGAGTGAACATTGAGCATCTTTTCATGTGTCTGATGGCCATCTGGATGTCTTCTGCGGAATAATGTCCATTCATGTATTCTGCCCATTTTTAATTGGACTATTTGTTGTTTGTTACTGACTTTTATAAGTTCTTTATACATCTTAGATACTAGCCCTTCATCAGATGTCATTTGCAAAAAGCTTCTCCAATTCAGTAGGTTGCCTTTTAGTTTTCTTGATTGTTTCCTTCTCTGTACAAAGCTTTTTATCTTGATGAGGTCCCAATAGTTTATTTTTGCTTTTGTTTCCCTTGCCTCAGGAGACACATCTAGAAAGAAGTTGCTATGGCAAGTTAGGGGGATATTTAAAAGCTAAAGCAGGATATGGAAACTTTATTGCAATTCAATCAAATGAGTAGATAGTAAAAATCAAGGAAATAAAAAACCACCTCCCCGGCTCAATTTTTGGAACAGCAGGACTCAGGAAGACCTAACCAGTCAAATATCAACAGGACTCACTAGACAGTAACAGAATGTAACAGGCACATGAACACACTACAACAGGAGAAAATCAGGGACCTGTGGAATTGTTCAAAAAATGAGAAATTTCCAGTCAAATGTGTTTTATAAATTCTGCAAATGGTAACTAAAATCTGTATTAGTTTTCTATCACTGCAAGGTGTATCCCGGTGAATACAAAGGTTATTTAATTAAAATAACTTCTCATTTTCAAAAGAGTTTAATAGATGTACAAAAATGTGAACCATATTTTAAGCTGTCTTTGGAGAACAAATCTGAGGATATAATAGAATTAGCAAGAACAAGCCCTATGAGGTTAGCTCAGCTTTAAGATGATCAAGCTGAAAGGAAATATACTATACATGCAATCTAATTAATAAATATAAACTACACAGAAATGTATAGTTGTGTAAAATGTTTGTGCCCACTTGGCACCGCGGAAGTATATTTTCTCACATGAAACTGACAATGGGAAATTGAGCACTAATTGTAATGGTACAATTCTACAGACAGGACATATGCCCTACATCCTGATTCTCAAGAATACAGTCATGAATTTAATCAGGACATTAATTTCTAGCATGAAGCCTTCTATTACACACTAAAAAAATAGGCGATACCTGAACTGCCTATCATTCTTCTGCCTCCATCTATACATTTGGCTCTGTGTAACCACTGTTTGCAATTTTATGATTCCTGAAGCCTCCATCAAGACTCCTCGTTATGGGACCCACTAGTGAAGTCAACTGGACACCTCTACACGAATAAAACCTTGCAATACCCAGGTTACACAGAGACAAGTGCAGGAGGAAAGCTTTATGAGGACACAACGCTAAAACAGCTAAAAGAATATTATGGCATCACCCTTCTGAAGCAACTGATTACTAATTAATAAGAATGCAGCAACACCGAATGTCAGCCCCAAAAAGCTTTTTCTCTTGAATTTGGAATAAAAAGTCAAATATTTAATTTATCTTTTAAAATGTCCTTAATGTTAGAGCTGCATACAGAAGTGATATAAGGGTCAAATGACATGGTATCTGGGATTGCTTTAAAACTCCTCAGCAGGGGCGCCTGGGTGGCTCAGTTTGTTAAGCATCCAACTTCAGCTCAGGTCATGATCTCATGGGTCGTGAGTTCAAGTCCTGCATCGGGCTCTGTGCTGACAGCTCGGAACCTGGAGCCTGCTTCAGATTCTGTGTCTCCCTCTCTCTCTGCCCCTCCCCGGCTCATGCTGTGTGTGTGTCTCTCTCTCAAAAATGAATAAAAACATTAAAAAAAAATTCCTCAGCAAAAACAGAGTAAGAGAAGAGAATAAATCTTAATTATTCAATCTGTTGATGGTTACATGGAGCTCACTCACCTATTCCCTATTCCTGTGTGCCTCTTTGAGCTTTTTATAATAAACATAACTTTTAAATATGAAAAGAGAATATAGGAACTTATTGTGTGGTAAAGGTGGCATTTCAAATCAAAGGAAAAAATAAATGGTATCAGAAGAACTGGTTAGTCATTGAGAAGGGAGGGGAAGAGTTGGGTCCACAAATCACACATAAAGCGAAATAAATTGACGATAGCTCAACAATTTAAATATAAAAAAATGAAACCAGTAAAGTAACAGCAGAAATAATCAGAGAACTATGATCATCACCTTGAAGTAAAAACCAAACATTCATAAAGTCAACTGTATAAAAAATAATTGCTTTCCTCATGGCCAAAGCAACCATAAATGACAAATACAACCAAGAGAGACAAATCAGGAAATCCTATCACAAAGGGCTACTTTCCCAAAGAAACAGTGCCTCAAATTAGTAAGCATCAAGCAACAGAAAAATAACAAATGGATACGGATGGGTCACAGAAAAAGAAATAAAGATAGCTCTTATGAGAATGCAAATTAAAAGACACTGAGATACCACTTTTCATTCATCAGACTAGCAAAGATTTAAAAAAAAAAAAAAAGTCTGATAATACTTGATGTTGGCAAGGCTCTAGGGAAACTAACAAGCTCAGACACTGGTAATGGAAGTGTAAGTTAGTACAATCTCTACAGAAAAGATCTGGCAACATCTGTCAAAATTACTAATTTATACACCTTTTAAACCAGTGATCACACTTCCGGTATTTATTCTTGTTATACCTATACATGTGTAAAGTGGTGCACACACACAGAGATGTGGGTACCCCTGCAGCACAGACGTGGGCAGCAGCCAAAGACAAGAATAGAAACAACATCCATGTCCAGAATGAAAGGTCTGGCTAAATAAATCATCTTACATCCATACCCTACTACTTTTAAAAAAAAGAATAAGGAAATTTCTAATGAAATGGTATTAAATGATCACTAAATCACACATATGTGCGCATGCATGCGATTGTATATATACCTTTATTCTTATAAATCCATATCCTTCTTCATAGAAAGACAAATTGTAATACTGGGTTTCTCCAGAAAGATCTGGTAGCTGGGTCAGATGGATGGGGTCTTATTACTGTTTACCCTTTGGTTCCTTTAGAAGTGTGTACCACGTGAATAAATTATCTGTTCAAAAAATTTTCAATATTCTTAGTTTGATCCAAAAGAACAACAGTAACTGTAAACATAAGTCTTGGTTACATACACCATCAATTTTAAAATGAAATACATAACAGATGTGCTGGGTCCTGAGTCATAGAAAAAGCCCTCCCTATCGAAAATACACTAACGAAAGAATTAGCCTCCTGCAAATATTATCACTTTAAAATAATCTTTCATCTCTAATTTGCACTCCTTGAGGACATTAGGATCCCTTCTACATCTTAAGAGCTAGCAACTCTATCCGTCATATTTAATAGTCCAGATTACCAAGACACAATAGTTTGCCAGCAATTTTTCTCTGCACTGAAGTAAGAAGATGAAATCATCACAACTGAAAGAAAATTATTCTGGGGTGGGTTGGTGTGAACTAATGCACTTTCTCTGCCAAAAAGGAGACAACAAAAGTAAAAGGCAGTTAAGTAGTCAAAAGATGGCAATCTATAGCAGAGAAATGTGGGGAAATTCCAGAGAGGCATAAAAGATGAGCATAGAAAGTTACTGATGATAAAATAAAAAGATGGTCACCCTAGTATATACAATTAATATTATGTAAATGTATATATAAAAAAAGCAAGATTAATAATCTGCATGAAAGCATGAAGTGCTGAGTACATTTCTTTAAGTACAGTTAATGCACATATTGATCTTTAAATATGCACTAAAATTAACCACTACTATGTATATTTTAATGCATCATTATCAAGGACATTCCAGGAAGTTAAGCAAAAAGACAAACAGAAAATATGAGAGAAAAGTTAAAAGACATAGAGGACTACCATATGGTACCATATTACCATTATTATGGTACCATACTACTATATGGTACCATATAGGCTACCATATATAACAGGATACCAGAGAGAAAGAGGAAGAGGAAGAGGAAGAGGAAGAGGAAGAGGAAGAGGAAGAGGAAGAGGAAGAGGAAGAGGAAGAGGAAGAGGAAGAAGGAGAGGGAGAGGGAGAGGGAGAGGGAGAGAGAACATAAAAAGTATGGAAATATATAACAAAATAAAAAAATTTCCTAGAAGTCAGGCATGAACCTTCTCAATGAAAAGCCACAGATTGCTAAACATGGTAACTGAAAAATCATCCACACCTGGAAATACCCTTCTGCTACTTCAAACTGAGGCTAAAGTTAAGATCC